TATATATATATATATATGTATATACATAGTTTTATGGATCTTGATAAAAACAGACATTTCTGAAAACATAAAATCACTTCCTTGAGAATTTTCAGAAATGAGATTCACCAAACTGCAGGAGCAGAAAAAACGTTAAGATTTAGAAACATCTCACTTTCCTGATGATGAAATTCAGAGTAGTTAGGTCACCTGCCCGAGGTCACACAGTTAATGGCACAGTCTGGACTAGGACCCAAGTTTCCTGACTTCCAGACGAGAGCTCTGTTTTTAAAAATTTGCTATACTATCTCTTATATGTCCTTAACCACTTGGAAGTATCCATAACCCTCTCTGCCCCACAATGTACCCCTTAGGGACAGTCAGAAGAACAGAATTCTGGACTATGTAGAATATTTAGAGCTACTGATGTAACAATGGATGAAACATTATGTCAAATAATGACTAGGCTAAAATTCATCTGGGGGTGGGGAGTAGAGAGGAAATACAAAAGAAGGAAATTCTGTAGACAATAATAAGAGAAGCACAAGAGGAAATATTATCCTCTTTTGTTATTTTATTACTGTTACTTTATTTTGTAGTTAAGTCCATATATTATATAAAACAGAACAGGAAAAATGAACAAATTTATAAAATAAATTGAAGTGTCTGGATGAAAAAAATACAAGAGCTTTGCCTTCTTGTCTATAGATCTCTTGATATGTTGTTGGTCTTGCACTTTAGATATCAAATAAAGATATCTAGCTTGAAACAAAAGCTGATATGCTACAAGGTTAAGCCACAGTTAGTTTGCTGGTAGGCCAGGAAATGACAGGTTTTCTAAATCTTATCCTTAAATATTGGCTATAACAAATGCTGATATGGCAAAATGCAAGCTTTTATCATCAGACAGCAAGAGGGAATCTTGAATTAATGAATGCAACTTACCTCCAAGTCTTCTGAAAGGAGGTGAAAAAATAAATACTGTATTTTACCAGTGTCCCCCCAAAAGCATTACTCTAAGCATGCAGGAGGATGCTGTGAGCAGCTACAACAGTAAGATCCAATCCAGAGGTAGGTTCAAGACCAATAGTAGGAGAGTGGTTGAAGAAATCCTCCTGGGGCCAGTACCATTTCATAGAATGACATTTTGTGCTGGGGAATGAGTCTATGGCCTATCTTGTTCTGACTCAAAAGAACATTCCTCATTTTAACCTTGCTGGAAACAGGTATTTTTGCACCTGCTATTAAGAACAGCTAGTATACAGGATAAGGCTGGCATAAAATTATTTAGCAAGCACATGCTAGCTATTCCAGTTTGAAATCTACCAAACTATAAAATTAATGGGGAAATAAAAAGTTGAAGATGGAGTTGTTGTTCCTCAAGATGGGGGGAAAATGTTTTACAAAAAGAGGGGATTAGGCACTCACTTAACTCTATATGGAGAACATCCTTCTCAGGCTAGGTAGAAGATGAGGAAGAGCATTACCAAAGGCTGACCAGGCCACTGGGAGACCAAAGGGAGAGGGAAAAAGGCATTTAGGAAGAAAGCTAGAAGAAAATCTTCTGGGTCTGACTAGGTAAGTGAATCTAAGGCAACCACACCAAAGATATGCTATCCACTATGCCAACATGGAGCTGGTGGCAAAATATCTCAAGACATTTTAAACCCAGAGAAATGTATGAAAAATATGTTAACCAAGCAAATTAACCAAACTTCCAAGGGTAAAATCTCCTCAGATCTGAAATCCAAGATACTCACTTTTCATTAATTCTCTGCATTATTAGAAAAAAATAAAAAGTAACAAATGTAAAGATTTGTTTTATTTCTACTGGGGAAAGAAGGAGGATAGATAGAACTGTTTTCCAATTTGCTCTCCACTGTATACACACATACCCATACACATACATACACATAGACACACCAAAAATACTCCAACAAAAAACAAAACAAAAAACTGAGAATCAAACACCAAAACACCCTCAAACTGCACCAATACTTCGTATTTTGACCAAAAGAATAGATCCTGGGAGGAAGTGCAAAATGCAAAATCAAATGACCGAAAAATGCTGAACAAACAGCATTATTAATATACAAAATATTTATATTACTGAACTAGTAACAGTTGATGTTCTCCATGTCTGTAAAACTTTGGAACCACATAGCTGATTTGTTAAATCTAGTCCATGCCAGCTTCCAAACACCAGAAAAAATTTTTTAGTTAGCTTCATTCTTCGATGCCTCATCAAAATTTTCTACGAGATCTGGAAAAAAATAAAAAAGGAAATGAGTAAAAGATACAAGAAAAAAAAAGTGGTAAATTAAATTCCTAACTTCTAATCCTAATAAAAACAAAATTGTTGCTACTAGAATTAGCCTGAAAACATATAGGACAAGAGGCAGAAATGAACTGGTGGCATTTCACTTATTAATAATGCTTCCTTTATCTGCTTTTTTTTTTTTTTTTTCTATCTCAAGCAGGCTCCACGCTGAGTGTGGAGCCCAACACGGGGCTCGATCCCACGACCCTGGGATCATGACCTGAGCTGGTATTAAGAGTTGCATGCTCAACCGACTGAGCCACCCAGGTGCCCCTCATTTATCTGTTTTTAAAACAGTAATCCTAACGAAATGTAAGTCTTTTTTTAGTCTATGCAAACTACTAAGGTGAACAGCATTTTTATATGCCAATCATAATTCCCACAGAAATGTAACAATAACTAAGCAAATTTCTAATCACAGTGATTCTAATTTAATAAACACAGGTAGCAGAGCTTTGTGTTACAATTTCTGATTCTAAGTTCTAAATGGGAGGGCTTTTTTTCTTTTTCATTAGATGTATCCATATTGTCGTGAATCAGTTTAAATTTATGAGCTTACCATCAACAAAAACTGAAACTCATTATACAATGAATTAAATGTGATAAACAGGCTGCTAAAAATCTTAAAGCTAAAGAAATGTCACTTACCTGGAACATCATCATCCTCCTCATCAATGTCTTCTGGTTTTGGTGCTTTGCTATCCAACACTATGAAAAGTTTATTTTAAAATTAGTCCTGAAGAATAAAGGCCTTCATAGAACACTTGTAATATTTATTCTTTGTGTCTAAATCTTATATAGTTGTTTGGAAAAAGCTAAAGATTGTCTGATCTAATACCATATTTTTTACTTAATAGTAAAATCAATAAAACTTTAACTTCATTAGGCATATACTAAATATAGCTGGCAATTTCAATGGGTAGTGAAGGTAAAATTTATATGAAAAATGAAATAATTCAGGATGAGTTGGAATAAAAACACATTACAGTTAATTTATTCTTTAAATTCCATATGCTCCAAGTCAAAAGTCGATATTCAAGACCTTTTCCATCTCTTTCGGTGTAAGAAAGTATCTAGTTACTGAAATAACAGGCTCTTTGATTTTTAGGGGTGAGAAGACACATTTGAAACCAGGACTATCTTGGAAATTCAGAACTTATGGTTGCTGCACCTATAGTACAATCAACAATATTAAACAAAAATATAGTTCTGTAATAACAGTATCTTCTTGTCATTAGTCAGAAGTGAATAGTAAATATTGTCCATAAAATGTGGTCTGCAGATCCTGGCACCTTCCTTTTAGGTAATTACCTCTCATATCTGTATTACTACCGAAATGTATCTGAATATTCAGTATGCTACACTGCATAATTATTAAAGAAACAAACTCAAAAAATTATGAAGCATATAAGCAAAGCAACATTTTTAAAAGTAAAATTTACATGCAAGCAAATCCTTCCAGTATAAAATGGAACACCTTTTAAATCATTAGGTTCTTTAAACAGAGGTGGAGAAGGAAAGACACTAAACTGAAATACCTACCTTGCCGAGGGAACTGTTCAGCTAACTTCCTAAGACTTGTTAAGCTGTCAGCACCAAGCTGACTTAATATTCCAGGAAGCATTTCTGTGATTGGTTTGGCTTCTGCATGACCAGTAATTGCAAAGGTGTTAGCAGAAAGGGAAGCTTGGACTTTGGGATTGTTGAAATGGATAACTGTCCCATCATCTTTAATCATGTTCACCTGTATGATCACAGAAGCAAAATGTACATCACATAGTTGGTACAACTAAAACAGTATCTGTTTAAATAACGATTTAGCCAATTACATTTGTTTTTTGTTTTTTTTTTTAACAATCCCAAGGTAGTAAGCAGTAGATATGGGTGGAAAAAGACCCTAATGACAAAATGGTGTAGGTGGCACAGATTACATTTTATTATAGAATCTAGATTTTAAATTCAAAGACTTCTACTATGAAAAAGAAGTTTATGACCATATTTTAAAAATAATGGAAGTTATCAGCCAAGAACTGCCTTGTTAATGAAATTACCCAGTATCTTAATCAATTTACACTATCAAACTAAATTGGTACAGATACCATTTGGTGGGGTAGCATCTTACTTAGGCAACAGGTTGTAAAGGGGTAATGGCGTATGGTAAAAATAACCACGGAAGATCCATAAAGAGCATCAGAAATTTAATCAGGTGTTTCACTCCTTTGAACACTTAATAAATTTACAAAAATTTCAACTTGTTCTCACCATGTCATTCTGTGAAAAGGATTTTGTCAGTTCCTCTAACTCCTAAATGTAGCTTCTCAACAACCTTTAATAACCCTTGTAAATGTCAAAGAAGCTCTCCAAACTTGCCTGGCCACCTGAACATGCTTTATCAATTACCAGGAAATCTTTAAAACCATCCTCACATTCTTTTGGTAGCTTTCACCAACATGAATCAACTGTTTCAGATTTGATTTTATCCATTGCCTGGGACTTGCTGAAAAGGAAGGTTAAACATGTGCTATTTAAAATATTATTTTTCTCTCTCACTCATGTACTTTCTTATTTGTGTTTTAGTGGTGTTAAATTTGTATAAGTTAAAAGTGTAAATAATGTGATTCCACTATGTAGTTGATTCCACTTGGATAAGTTACCTTGGTGGTAACATGCTTATTATATAAAAAGGCTAGGAGAGTTAACTCTTGGCTAATTTAGAAGCATTTCATGACCCATCCAAAAACTACCCTTGTCACAATCAAGCAGAGATGCTGTGTATTCTCCATGGTCAGTGGAAGTGGGCTTTTCTTCCTCAAAGGTGATCATCACCACTGATAGCATCAGAAAGGAAGGGGAACAAAGGGGCTTCTAAATTTCAGGAAAGACCTGGAACACAGAGAAAATAAAGGCATATCCCCTGGAAAATTATAACTAAGCTCCACAAATAATTTCCCAAATTTTCTCTGACAAAAATTACTATTTGAATTCTTTATCTTTCCCAGTATCGGTATTGTACTTAAGGTTCCATTATGCATATTACACACAGTAAGCATTCAATCCAACTGTTCTGAACAAATACCATTATGAGTTAAAAATAATTTATACTGACTTTAGAAAAAGATAAAATTATATAGTTCTGAAGGTATAAGTTTAGGTAGAAAAGTTTTTAATGTTAAAGTGGCTGAAAATTTGGAAGAGGAACGGCTTGAGAAGGAGGTGGCATAGTGGATATGAAATGGGATGTTGTTCCGTATCTATCCTAGAATCACATAATTCTAGTTGGGAAATGAATAAAGATAGGGTAGGACTCCATTTTCCAAATCAAGACCAAATCACATAATTTTAATAAAGGATTTCTACAATATTTCCAGGACTGAAAAGTCTGAAATATTAGCATTTGAGATATTTTTTATTTACAGATGTTAAAGTCATAAGAGATTTTGAAATCAATATTGTTCCAAAAGTCATGCCGTATATTTGTTGAACTTAAGAGGTTTTCTAGTTCAAATCTCGTGAGAGAAATAAATACTAAAGGCAAGAGCTCTTGGCTAAGCAAATATTCAAGGATAAATAGTTACATGCAAACCTAGAACTTGAACCTGGGTTCCCAACTTTGTTTAGTTTCCTTCCTACGATGTCATTCTTTTATTTTTTTAAAAATTTTTTAAAGTTTTCACTTTATTTTAATTCAAGTTAACATAGTTATATTAGTTTCAGGTGTACAACATAGTGATTTAACATTTACATACATCACCTGGTGTCCATCATAGCAAGTGCCCTCCTTAATCCCCATCAACTATTTAACCCATTCCCCCATGCACCTCTCTAGTAACTATCAGTTTGCTCTCTATAGTTAAAAGTCTGTTTCTTGGTTGGCCTCTCTCCCTCTGGATATGTCATTCTCATTCTTAAAATTGTTTATTTGCCTTTAAGAATTCAATTCTTTGGCCCCATGAAAGCTTGCCAGCAATTATTTATCTCAGAATATAGGCTAAGTGGAGAATGTAAAAGAAAACTGACACAGATATATGGATAATATATATCTTGCTAGCTACAAAACAAAAAGCTAACACAGGGCCAAAAAAAAAAAAAAACCATGATTTTTCTTCTGTTCAAGCTTCTTTATCAAAGGCTAAATATTAAGTCATATCTTAGTAGTTTAAAATATGCTGAGTTTAGTGTGAAAAGCAGGATGAATTCCATCTCAGACTGTAAAACAGAAATAAATTTATAAATGGTTGTTTTAAATGGGGTTGCACAAAAGATGTAGCTTCATGAAGAGAAAGGTCCAGAAAGGGGTGAAGAATTTAGTTAATTTAATTTTTTTAATGTTTTCATTTATTTTTGAGATAGAGAGAGACCGAGCATGAACAGGGGAGGGGCAGAGAGAGAGGGAGACACAGAATCTGAAGCAGGCTCCAGGCTCTGAGCTGTCAGCAAAGAGCCTGATGCGGGGCTCAAACTCACAGACTGTGAGATCATGACCTGAGCTGAAGTCGGATGCTTAACCGACTGAGCCACCCAGGCGCCCCAAGTTTAGTTAATTTTAGAATAGAAAATGAAGTACTTTAAGTTAAAGAAGGCCAAGATATTTTATTTCTATCTACCATTCCTTCCTCTCTACTGAGCAAATAACATGATTATATAAGGCTTCTAGACTCAAGCTATTAGAAACTATCAAAGGATGAATTGTTGGGTTGAGGAAGATCAGACACTTCCCCTACCCTTTTAGAAGCAAAAGAAGGGATTAAGGACCTTGTTAAATTCACAATACAAATTGTACACATTTCATAAGGAGACTTCACCTTTTCCAGTTACCACTGCTTAGTCAGAATAAGTCATACATAGTCTATATACAGTATAAAAATAAGGAGCAGACAAGGAAACAAAGACTATTAAATTAGCTACTGTGCCAGCACTCAGGTCCCTTTTCAATCAAACAACCCCTTATGTCAAAATGTTTTTTCCACTTGGGGCGCCTGGGTGGCGCGGTCGGTTGAGCGTCCGACTTCAGCCAGGTCACGATCTCGCGGTCCGGGAGTTCGAGCCCCGCGTCGGGCTCTGGGCTGATGGCTCAGAGCCTGGAGCCTGTTTCCGATTCTGTGTCTCCCTCTCTCTCTGCCCCTCGCCCGTTCATGCTCTGTCTCTCTCTGTCCCAAAAATAAATAAAAACGTTGAAAAAAAAATGTTTTTTCCACTTTAACAGGTAGTTTAAGGTAAAGGATGCTACTTGAGCTATGGAGGAAGTAGAATTTTCTTTTTTTTGTTTATTTATTTTTGAGAGAGAGAGAGCATACGAGCGAGCAGGGGAGGTGCAAGGAGGGGGGGGGATGGGGAGTGGGACAGAGGATCTGAAGCAGGCTCCGTGCTGACAGCAGAGAGCCCAACGCAGGGCTGGAACTCACAGTGAGATTACAACTGGAGCCAGAGCCGAAGTCAAACGCTTAACTGACTGAGCCACCCAGGCACCGGGTGGTGCTTGGACAGTACTGATGTGTCTTGTAGTTATTAAAAAATGGTCTCTCATGCCTAGTACATTTACATATGCTGTTTTTACTGTTTAGAACCGTTTTATGCTTCTCCACCTTGTAAATTCTCATTTATCCAAGACTTGAGTCAGATGCTTCTTTGTGAAAATTTAAGGTTGTTTATGCACTTTCTGTACTTCATGGGTATTGCAATTATATGGAATTGTCTTGTACGATAATTGTGTTTGCAAGTCTTTGACCTTACTAGAAGGTAAACATCTTGCCATCAGAGACCATGCCTTACTAGACATAGTATGCCCCTAAGTGTCCAATACATAATAGTCACTCACATTTGCCAAATGAATGGACACCTCCAATACAATTTCAAATCTTGGATACTGTCAGAATTGAACTCCCCAAATGCTAGATGAGGGGTCATCTCAAGTTTTAGAAATAACTCCAGTAGTGGTCTTGATGAAAATGCCCAGAACCCGCTGAGCTGCATCTTTGGCTGGACTTTTCCTATTGTTCTGACTTTTCAGAATCAGCCTGAATGCCTGACAGAATTCAGGGGAATTTTAAGTAATTCCTAGCAACTGCTGAGTGGCCCCATTATGCTGCTATCAAAATCTTAACAACCCCTACCTTTGCTCACCTCTGAGTAGGGCACATATATTAATCACAGCAACCCTTCTAGCTGGTAAATTTGATGCTTGCTTTATTCCTACACAGCAGTAAATTGTTATGGTTCTAGGAGGCTCACAAAGTTATACTTGACTCTACATCTCTTGCTGACAATTGCCCTCACAGTTCAGAAAGGAAGCTTAAATTCTTCCTTTTTTTTTTTTATCCAAGTCCCCACTAGGTCAGGTAGTTGCACTTCTAAGAATTGACAATTGTCTTAAAAATCAAGTTTTTCTGCTACTCCTTCCTGTATGTAGTAGCATTTATGTATTTATTTTTAAGATTTTAATTTCAAGTCATTGCCACATACAACATGGGGCTCAAACTCAGAACCCAGAGATCAAGAGTCGCATGCTTTACTGACTGAGCCAGCCAGCTGCCCCTGTAGTAGCATTTAAATGTTTATCAGGTACTTCACCTTTTATTGCCTTCCTCCTATATCTTAATAAGGTGAAATAGTAAACATTTTAAGAAGAGGACACACAAGTGTGGGGTTTTGTGAGGCTAAGGGATATACGAGTTTGAAGATTATGGGCTTGGGGCGCACTCTCATAAATCAGTATCTTTCACATTCAATGCTTCTTTTTTTTTTTTT